CTTTCTTTCTTTCTTTCTTTCTTTCTTTCTTTCTTTCTTTCTTTCTTTCTTTCTTTCATCATGTAAAATACACATCATGAAGTTAGCCCTGTTAACCATTTTAAAATGTGTGGTTTGTTGGCATTAAGTTCACTAACATTGTGCAACCTTTGCCACCACCTAGATCCAGAATTTTGTGTCAAAAGACTGGGCTGTTAAAAAAAAAAAAAATGAGCCCATACCCCTTTCGCATCCCAGCTCCATTTCACTTCAGTGTCTGTGCGCTTGCCTACTCCAGGACCGTATAAAGCAGAACCACAGAGAACCTGGCCTTTAGTGACTACCTTGATTAATTTAGCATACTGCCCTTAAGATACATCTGTGGGGCTGGCAAGATGGCTCAGCTATTAAAGGCTAGGCTCACCACCAAAAATATAAAATACATCTGTGTTGGGTTGTGCAGATAGATCACTGGATAAAAGCGCTTGCAATCACATCTCAGGAATCCTTACGTATCTTAGGAGGACACCTGACACAGGGTCCAAATGATTTTGCTTTCATCTCAGTCCATTTGTTGAGGATCCATTTTGTGGAAGAAATGAGTCTTGCATTCAGTGACCAAACCTAAAACATTAGGTATTTCCTAAGCAGTATCCTATCTTAGGAAAATGGACAGATTGGAAATTAATCTTGTTTATATTCTTAGCTTCATTTACTATGCAAGTGGGTTATACATGGAATATTTTAAATCTGTGCTGCAAAGCTCTCTGCAGGGCCTCCAGCCGAACCTTAGAGGGGAGCCGCATGAGAACCAAAACCTAAATAGAATGTTAGTCTAAACAAAGCATCGAGAGAACCATGCAGGCGGTGGCTGTGAGGTGCGTCTCTAACCCACAGAAACTGAGCTGAGTCAGCGCTCCTGTATTTACGTGTAAATTTTAACGTGAAGATGCATATCAAGTGATGCTAAGGGCTGTCACCTTTTAAATGACATTTTCATCAGGAAAATTATGTTTGAATATTAAAATTCCAATTACGCGTTAAAAATTTTGTGTTGTACCTTGGCAAAGAGTAACAGTATAGCAGGAACAGTGCTATCTGGTTACCGTATTATCATTGGGGCACATTTTTGAGAACACCATGGGCATTGTTTAATATACCCACGCTGCAGGCCCTGGCACTGTGGCCATCTGGCCTAGGCAGGCTTGTGCATCGATCTTCCCCACGACTTCTGGCTTGCAGCCACTAGAGGGCAGTACACCTTTTGTGACAATGAGAAATATTTACAGGAGTTCTTAAACGTGGGGACCCATTTAGGGGAGGCAAAGTCACTCCAGAGAACAATAACTGACCGACTGGAGAAACATAACAATAAAAATCCTAAGTTATTAACTGATAAAAAGTAAGTAACACTCGCAAATAAAAAGTTCAATCAATGTTCTCCGTCACCCCTACCCACCTACCTGCCCATTCCCTCCCTGCCGTGTCTCTCAGCTTTCCATCTTGCACTCAGCAAATTAGCAAATTAGCTGTTTTATATAGTTCCTCTGAATATAGGGAATATAGTGTTCACTCCAAGGTTTACAGAGGACAGAAACCTAGACTGGGCAGCAAATGAAAGCATAGGCATTCATTACCATGTAAAATCAAACCTGAAAAAGAAAACTAAGAAAAAAGTTCAGTCAAAAGAAAGAAAAAGAAAAGAAAATCAAGCAGCTCCCCTCTCCTGAAACGTCTTTAATAGGAGAGATATGGTCATTTTCTTGATCTTACTGTTATCAGAGCAGCGTCAGGGGGCCAAAAGGTGGGAGCCACCCAAATGGCCCTTGGTAGATGAGAATGAGCTAAAGCAGTGGGAGCTACCCAGCCTCACACCATCCAGCCCTGAAACAGAAAGAAGATCTAGTGATGCTGTAAAAATCATGAACCTTTTAATCTTTTTTTTTTTTTTTTTTTTTTTTTTTTTTTTTTTTTTTTTTTTTTTTGGTACGGGAGTGGATCAGAGAAGTCACTGTGCAAAGGGAGACAGAAAGCTGGGGGCAAGGAGAGACCACACACTTGCAGAGAGGCAGAAGACAGAGACAGAGAGAACACAAAATGTCTGGATTATCCAGGGAAGAGCTTCTGAGGAAGGAGAATGCCAGCCATACCCTGTAACAAGTAGACACTAAAGGATGCTGGGAGAACCTGAAGGCCAGGTCCACTTTGGTTAAATGGACACCTCAGCCGCCTGGCCCCGGGGGCGAATCCCAACAGAAGGTGTGTGGATGGGGAGCTAGGATCCAGCATGTGCGTGCACACACGTGTGTGTGAGGGTAAATGTGGACACGTGTGTATGCCACTGCAGGTGTGTAGAACTCAGAGACAACCTCACGTGTCGGTCCTCACCTTTTGCCTTGTTTGAGACAGGGCCTCTCTTTCATTCTTCACCAGGGCATACAACAGGCCAACTCAGCCTCCCGTCTCCACGTAGACCCAAACCACTAGAATTACAGCTGCTCGCGCTATGTGTCTGGCTTTTATGTGGGTTCTGGGGGATGGAAACTTTGGTCCTCACCACCCAGAAGCCTAAACCCATCTCTGCAGTGACAGATGGCACAGCTGTGGAGTTGTTTTCCTGAAGCGTGAGGTACCAGGGTGTGCATCTAGATGAGTGCTTCTCCACCTGTCAGCTGTGACCCTTTTGGGGGTGCCCAGTGAGCTTTTCACAGGGGTTGCATGTCAGGCGTCCAGTGTTTCAGATACTTACATTATGATCCATAGCAGTTGCAAAATGACAGTTATGAAGCAGCAATGAAATAATTTTACAGTTGGCGGTCACTATAGCATGAGGGACTGTAATTCAGGGTCACAGCATTAGGAAGGTTGAGAACCCCTGGTCTAGATACTCGCTCAACCAAACAACTCCCTTTTAAGGTGGGATCCAGACTAAATGGAGAGTATCAAATGCCAGTATCTCCTCATCACCAGCCCATACACCTTGCATATCTTCAGTGAAGGATGAGAAAATTGGCATCCCTAATAAGAAGACTGATGTTCTAAATTCTTAATGGGAGACTGTTTTCAGGCGTGGTGTTAGAGTCATATCCCAAAGGAGGTCACTTCCTGCCCCTGGACAGACACTGGTCCTCGGGCAAGTGACACTCCCAAGGCTATTCTGACAAAATGCCTGCTTTTCTTTTCCAGGACGTGGGAAGAAGGCAAGGTGCTCATCTTTGATGACTCTTTTGAGCATGAGGTGTGGCAGGACGCCTCCTCCTACCGGCTAATCTTCATCGTGGATGTGTGGCACCCCGAGCTGACCCCTCAGCAGAGACGCAGCCTCCCTGCAATTTAAAAGGAAATGCCACAGACTTAGATGGTCCCCAGGGAGACCACCTTTCTGGTCCTTTCTGGGTGTGGATATACAAGTTCAAGAGCCACGACTCTTCATTCCCTTGCCTTCCGGCTGAAGACCTCTAAGGTTCCTTCTGGGTTAGAAACCACTGGAGGGAGTGTTTGCCTTACTACAATTCATTAGGAGGCCCCTTGCTCCACGGCACTCAGGAGAGCACAGAACTAGTGCCTGGATTGAAGGGGCACACTTGGTTGTGTCTACATTGCTGGCCAAAGATATTTTTCTACGTAGAATAGTGTCTACGTCAATGTAGACTGAGGATATACTATATGTAGAAACTGTGAATGAATCACTTGCATTTGTAATTTTTCTATGCAGTTATATTTTTCTAGGTGGCTAAATCGGCCTTTCACCATCTACACCCATGTGTTGTTGACAAGAAGTGTAAATGCTTCACTTCTAACTGTTAAATAGTAATTTTCCTGGTAAATTCAGACATCTCCATTTTGAAAAAAATATATATATATATCACTTGTGAAGAAGACAACTTTGTTCTCCTAACAGGAATGGGAAGTTACTCCAGGATTATGAACTGTGCCAACCCTCGGGTCTACCTATGTATCTTCACTTAGACTCAGTATCTTTCCCTTTCTCTGTGCTGGTAATGGAAATGCCAGCAAGCTCTTATTTCTACGAGCAACTGAACAAAGCCATGGAAACATTTCATGTTGTGATAGGAAAACACCACAGACAATTGGGCTCGGAAAGAAGATGTAACAGGCAAATGAAAATTCTCTGTCAGGATCAGATGGCCATTATTTTTTTGGGGGGGGTTCTTATTTTGGTTTTTTATTTGTTTGTTTGTTTGTTTTTTGGGGCCTCTTTGCCTTCTGTACTTCTGTACTACAGGGCCTAGAATCTACAGTGTCTGCCTCCTGTAGATCTGTTTGAGTGTCACAAAGCTGGCCTCCTAGTCTCTAAGAGTCCCCTCACAATTTCATCAAAGTGGGAAGTGCCCAGGAAAGCTAGGATCCTTCCCTAAGTGTGGATGGCTCAGCTTGTTTGATTCTGACTTTGCAGAACTTTTCATCTTCCTCACTCTAAAAAGCTCTCATTATTTTGTGTTCAATTCGTGTACTACCCATGATATGGGAAGAGCAGTAAAACGTCATCTTGTGCCTCAAGGTGATCAGTTCACTAGTTAAGCATTACTACCTTTGATTTTCTCTTTTAAAACTGAAGGTAACTCGAGTCTGAGAATGTCGCAACACTCACGCACTGATCTCTAAGCCCGTCGAACAGCAGTGCTGCAGAAATGACACGAACTGCAGCCACACAGCTGATAAAACATAGATGCCCTCTTTTCATCCAGTGTCAAGAGAAGCAGCTTTCTGTACCTCATTTAAAGGGCAATTCTTTAACATTGAAATTGACCCCTTTTCTTTTAGCTTAAGGATATTAGCTTTTAGTAGGAAAGTTTACAAAATATGTGTCCATTCTTAAAATAGGTACTTGCTCCTTCTTAGCCAGTGTTCAAAATTTCCTCTAAAACAGATGGCGAAGGCATGGCAGGAAAATATCAAATCCTTACCAAATTCCAGAAAAGAAAACCACCTTGTAGGAAGTAAGAAGTTATGTGTGTTCTTCAGTGTTTATTAAACAGAGGAACTTACTGACAAAAGGCGATACAGTCCAGTGTTTGTGGAGTAACACGTGATCAACTATTGGGTTTGGTTCTCCTATATATTACATACACATAAGAAAATGCAAACATGGGTTCTCATTGTTAAACCATCACCTTACATCCATGTAATAAAGTGGTGGAGATGAGCAAAAGTTAGCTTTTAACTTAGTAAATATAGCGTTTTTTAAAATAAGGTTATTACAGTGGGATTCTGAATATTGCCACGTGAAAAGCCAGACCTACCATCACTATTAAAAGAGTTGGCAGTCATTGACTCCAACAGTACTTTGAAAAGTACTTGGATCCCGTTTTCATTTTATAAACCCAAGCAATAAAACATTTTCTAATTCACTTTAATATTTCCTCTCTCTTCTGTCATAAGAATTTACTCCAGTGTCTTGGTAGACATTTTTCAAGGTTGTTATTTCATGATTCAAAAGGTCTATATGAAATGAATTGGTGTTTTTATATACTATGATGCAATTGTTTGAGAAATATTTTAAATTCTGTTTCAATTTTACTTCTCCAAGGTTTTGGAACATAAAAATAGCTTCTGTTACTATTCTCTGCCAAGAGAAAGAAATAAGAGTACAGTAGATCAACTAAGGAATGTATACGTGTAGAATGTAGCTCGGAGCTCAAGAGGGGAACACTTTGCCTAGCTCGAATGACAAGGCCCTGAATTTGATCTCCAGCACTGAAAGGAGTCAGGGAGGAAAGAAAAATAGAGAGACAGAGAAAGATAGACAAAAGAAAAGGGGGAAGAGGAGGCAAAAAGAAGGGGGAATAAAGAAAGACATGCAGACAGTGAAAAAGGCAAGAATAGGAAAACAGAGAAGAGAAAGAAGAGGCCACAATTAGCAATATTTTTGGCGGTGACTATGGCTGGGTGGAAGTTGAATTGGTTTTCTTTAGGTTGTTCAGCTAGCAAATCAACCTACCAAAAGCTTAAAATGTAAGATATTTTTCCTAAGCATTCTCAATTAAAGTTTTTGACAGGAAGCACTGTGGTCATATTAGTAAGTGCCTGTGTTGTACGGATGCTGGAGAAGAAGTCTACATATACTCAACAGGGCCTTGGGAATCATGGCACAGACAACATCCTACCCTTTGATGGCTGTTTGTTTTCTGTCTGACTTCCTGGGAGCGGAGACCGGGGTCCATTTCTAAGGAAAATGGATAAGGAAGTAGGTTGGTCTTTGGCATTTCATCTTGCATTCCTGGTCTTCTTCATTAGTTTGGCACTTACATGCTGAGCCATTCTTAAGGGTATTTCTGTGAGATTTGACTGTTTGTCACCTCAGGGCCTTTCATCACAGGTAATAGGAGGGTTGGGAAAAAAGGGATTTAATTGTTGGCACTTTTCTTTGCTATAGGAACCCAAGAACTAACTTGAGTGAGCTCATCAGTCACTGGTGTGTTTTTGTCAAAGAGTTGCTTCCTCTCTGTAGACATTCCTCCAGATGCCTACAAGGAATCACTTTGCTAAGATGAAGCAGCCATTTTTAAAAACTGCCCGCACATTCTTAATATCCAGTTCATGTGGCCTCACAAACAAGGCGATGTCAAAATCATTCTTGCAGGATATTTAAATTAAAAACTGCAAATAGCCAGACCTGTGAGATCACACTCATAGGCTGAAAACCTAGATGCTGGTGATGAGGTCAGGAAACAAGTCAATAAAACTGAAAATGGTTGTAGCTACTATTGTCTTGGGGTTCTGCACTACATTAAACTTGACAGTGTGTCTGCACAGTTTCACTCCATTGCATTTATTTGGAAATGAAGTTCATCTTAATTTGCAAAACCTGGAGAGGGTCCCTGTGTGAAACCCTTAGAGCAATTCTTGTCCTAATGTATATGCAGCAAATTTAGGTTTTTTTTTTTTTCCCCCTTTTGTAAGTACATCTGCTGCCATAAATATGAGGGGAGGGAGAATCCTTTCTACACGAATGCCTGTCTTCATTTCTCCAACCCCTCACAGTAAAACATAAATTAATTAGTTAAATGGAATTCTAAAAGTGTCTCTCAAATCTTTGTCCGGTGTGGGCCGCTCAGACGGATGGCTGCTGCCAGTCACGGCTGGGGGTGGAGTGGAGGAGCTCCTGGCGAGCAGAGCAGAGCACAAGTGGCTGTAGGTCAGCGGCACAGCTTCCCGGGAGGCTGCTCCGATGAAGGCGTGTGCACCATGGGGACATCACGTGATGTTGGCTCAGTCCAGAGCCAGCAGGGGCTGCGTGTTCTCATTCTCTCCCTTCTCTTCATGTTTCAAGGTCCCAGCTTCTACCACAGACTGAGATCTAACAAGAGAGGAAGGAAACACACACATGATCACAGACAGTCCATGCCGGTAATGGTTGCCTTTCTCTTGGAGAAGCAAGGCCTGTAAAATAGCTACTTAGTGTATACCTTTTGGTATCGGTTTTGTAGACAATACTTTTTTATTATTTTTACTTTATTTTGCTGAAGACTTAACCTGGTCAATTCTGAGACTCTTCTGTTGAATTTGCTCTGTATCGTTTTGCTGTAATAAACCATAACTATGAATGTAACGTTGTGTGGGTGTGTCTATAAAATAAAAGTAAGTGATTCCAAAGATACAAAAAACACTGTTTTCTGTGCACTTGGTGGCTGTCTAAGGGGTTCATCTCTTGTATGAGCTTACCACTTTTACAGCCCTGAGAAATGGAGCTACTCTCTCCATTTTTAAGTGCTGAAAAAAATTTAAGGGATCTGTAGACAAGTAACTTAGGACAAGCGATACAGCGTGGTGGCGAGCAGGGTCTGCTCAGGAGCTCTCTGTCCCTGGAAGTGCTGTGGCCGCAGAGCTCCTTGATGGAAGTCGAATGATGCTTCCACTTTGCTGCGAAAGTGACTTGCTGTCTCAGGTTCTTAACCCCTCTCATATTACGTATGTAGCACAGAAAGCACGTGACGAAGAGTTAGGTCAGCGCTGAACATGGCTTGTACATTCATACAATGCCAGCTTTGGGGAGATAGGAGCAGGGGAATCAATTTCATGGTCAGTCTGGGCAGTATAGTGAGTTCCCGACCAACCTAAATTGCATAATAAGATCCTATGTCAAAAAGAGGAAAACATAAGTCACTTCAGCTGCCATATGCTACAGAAGAGCTAGTTTCTACTATTAAACATCAGTCAACTCAACCAACAGAACTAGGTGCTGTGCGCAGCGTGAAAGAGATTCATCTGCAGCCGGGATGACCAGGAGAACAGGCAGTAATAGAAATTGGGATCTTTGACACATTCCCCCTGTGTTTCTCTGTTTTATTTAAGAGCCCAGCATAATGTCGGGGAGGAAGGAAGGAATGCTCTTTTGCATAAGTTCAGAAAATCAGAAACCCCAGAAGATATCAAGACAAACTGGTGGTTCAAACTAGTAAAACCAAAATTGGGGAGGCTGAGGCTGGAGGAGTGTGGGTTCAAGGCCAGCCTGAGCTACATTCTGATGTCTTACCTAAAAAATGGAAGCAAACGAAGAGACCCAGAAGATGACAGCTGTATGGCTACCCACACACATCACCTCCATCCAGCATCTTAGACCACTGCACAATTGCTTTGCACTATGGATTGTTCAAAAATAAAGGAAACTGGTACCAATCTGCTATTGAAACTTTAAACTACACTTCTGACAGGTAAGTCAACTGTGTTACAGAAAACAGCACTGGGGCCAGAGTCAGGATGAGGTGCCTAGCTTCTCAGAGGCACTGCTCCTACATTCCTTCTTGAGCACAGACAGCTCGGGAAGCTTACTCCTCCACGCCCCAAAAGGTCAACCCTGCGAGAGTCTCCTTCTCGTTAAACTCACACGTGGTTTTGAAAACACCTATGTCCTGTCTTTCGTTCCTCCTCTTCCAGAGCCACTGTATCCTGCCATCCTTCCCCTCCCTCTGTGGGGGTCGGTAGCAGGGTCCTCCTGGATATCAGAATCATCAGATGTTCAAGTAGCTGCATGGAACCAGCTCAGCCTCCTGTAGATTATAATGCCTAATACAAAGTATGCACTGTGTTGCTTAGGGAATTACAGCAAGAAGGGAAGAGTGCACCCACCCAGTGATTGAATCAAGCATGTGCAACCTCTGGCTGTACCCATACAGGGATGACCATGTACAATCCCTCCAGGAGTCGGCTTCGAAGCCTTGTTTTAGTTCAAGTTTCCCTCCCTAAATACACTGCTCCTCACTGAGGTTAATTGGATTCCATTTGTGCCAAGATTTCTAGATCCTCTGACAGGTTATGTGAACGCATGAACAGAGTGAAATGATGACTTCATGCATCATGTTCTGCTGGGGTTATCAAGAGCCACATTATCCTTTCTGGCACCGGTGTACAGCAGGTTGATCTTTAAAATGATGCTGTTTCCCCATCTTCCTCCCATCTTGACAGTTCTGCTCAAAAACCTTGAAGCTGTGAAATAAATTTCATCTCTTTAAATTTGCTTTATGTTTCCAACCTGTCTCTGTCCTTTTAGATCATAAAATGTTTTGCCAATCCCAGTTATTACCTCTGATTTTAATGGTTATTAGATTTATTTTCAAACTTTCCCTTCTCACCCTGTGAGGAAAGGCGAGAGAAAATCAGGTAGATCTCCATGAGTTTTCAAACCATCCTTTGTTCCCACTGTCTGAGGCTAAGTGATTTTATGTATTGCTATATGCCAGTGATTGTGAACAAAGGTGCAGAAACCCTCATTGTTAAGCTACCCAGACACAAGAATCTAAACAGGAATGCAGACCTATTACAGATGCCTCATTGCCGAGCCAGGGGAGAGGCATCCTTTAGAAGAGAACATGGAAAGAAGGGGCGACAGAAGGACAAATCTCTGTCACACATACTAGTACCATTTGCCCTTCTTATTCGGATGGCCAGTGTTGGCTTTCCCCTCATGACATATGATTGGGACCTGTGTCATTTCTTTCAGTAGATACATTGACAGCAATGACCTGGAATGTCTTACCCAATAGATTGTGTTGTGGTTGACTGGTAAGTGACACTGGGCCTGTTCCAAGATGTTGAGAATGAGAAAGTAAACAGCATTTTGCTTCAGGCTTGTATGTTCCCTAATTGAGAACATGGCTTCTTAACTTTCAACATGATGGAATTCTATTTACCTGGTCACACGATAGACACTTAGTATTAAAATTTGATGTAAGTAACCCACTATATCATGAAATATTTGAAATTCACTGGAAAAAATAACAAACTCTTCTTTTCTTTTTAATGGAAAGGATTAAAATAAGATTTATGCAATGTGAGCACATTGGGAAGAAGGATAAGGCATCTAGCAAACCCCTCAAGTCCAGCATCTGAGTCCTGAAGTGAGATCAAAATTTAAATAGACGGCAGAAGGAACAGTCCTGGTCAAGGTGTGGTCTCAAGTACCACTGAGCCATCGTCATCTGGATTTCAGTCTCATCCTGTCTGACAACTTGTTAAAACTGTTTGAAATTTCTCTCTAGCTTCCTGGAGAAAATCCTATTTCTTTGGGATCCTTCTTGACGCTTGCCCTCAGTTCATTAGCTAAATTAAAATCCCTCTGAAATTCAAATCAATCGCTCTCTGGTAAAGATGACTCGCTCTGGTTCAGTGAAGCACACAGAAGAAGTCCATCCAGTGGCCCCACCCATTCACGAGAAGCTGAGTTCGTTGGCTAAAATGAACAATTGTATTGGTCTTCTTTACAATGTGGAATACCACCTAACCCCAAGGACAGGCACAGGGTGATGGGTAATTTTAGTGGTGGAACACTCAACCCCTAAAAGGCTTCACCTAGTCTTGACAGCCATGGGATGCTTTCCTGCTATCCCCTGCCTTTGTCTGTTTTTCTGACTCCTTCCTTTACTTCCCTGTTTGTTCTTCTTTCCACTCTTTCTTCCTCCATGTTTGGAAAATTTCTCCATTTCATGTGATGAAGGACTATGGGTAAGGTTTCATATTTGAAAGATTCCAAAGATTGGCTTCCAGGATGAAGGTGTGATAGAAAACACAGGCCATGAGCCAGTTCATCCTTCATCAGTCAACAACTGTAACTATAATGTGGATCTCAGGAGGAGGTTTATATCCAGAACCTTATTAAACCATGTTGACAATCACATTGTGTTCTTATAGATGGGCCTCCTCTGCCCATCTGGACTATGGAAGAGCCCTATAAAGGCCTGACTGCTGTGTCCTTTACATGAAGTCTACACCATGAATCACAGTATCAGGGCCAAAAGGGAGGGCAGAGCTGGTTTAGTTAGGCCCTCCCTTAAATCGGGGGCTAACATCTGTTTTCTGCAGATCAACCTCTGCATTACATGGAAGAACGCCACAGAGGTCACTTTAGTTTCCCAAGTCAACAGCAGTTTGGTTTTGTGGAAGAACTCTGAACTATCTGACATCTTAGCTTATAAGGATTTCCAGCCAGAAAGAGAAATTTCTCCTGGGAGTGAGAGGGTGGGCTTGATCAAAGCACACTGCATGCATGTTTGCAATTCTCCAAGAATAAATTAAAACATATATTTGGGTCTGAATAGATTGCTCAGTCAGTAAAGCGCTTGAGGCACAAACATCAAGATCTGACTTAAATTCCCAGAATCCACAAAAAAAAAAAAAAAAAAAAACCTAAAAAGTACATGTACATGCTTGAAAACCCAGTCCTGGGGAAGAGAGACAGGTAGATCCTTGAGAGTTGCTGGCCAGTCTTCTTAGTCTACTCCAGGCCAGTGGGAGAAACTGTTTCACAAAAAAATCAAGGTGAACTGCACCTGAGAAATGAGATCTGAGGTCACGTATGAATGTGCACACGCGTACACACCCCACGTACAAGTGCACCCATACAAAACTGTGCACATTCTACACATACACACACACACACACCATATATATATGTATATATGAAATACATATATATAATCCTAAGCAATCTGTATAGCTTTTTTTTTTTCTTCAGTAACTTCAAGTATAGAAAAAATTCCCCCAAGGGCTTCCTGGGGGATGAGAATGACGGTGCCACCACCAGCCTTATGTCCTTCGGTGAACTCTGCTTCCTCTGTAACCTGGAGATAATCACGCCCATGTTATGAGTGTGAGGATGTTGGGGACCAGAGGAATTAAGGCTCACCTATGAAGTAAAGGCACACGTATGGTTAATGCTAGCTCTCACTCATGTTCATCTATAAAAATATGCAATCAGTAATTTAGATCTTTATTTTTCTTGTTTGTATTTTGAGACAAGGTCTCACTATCTAACTTAGGCTGGAACTCCTGTCCTCCTACCTCAGCGTTCCAAGGTTTGGGATA